CATATGATGAAGGAGAACACGACGAGTTGTTCATACAACTCGACGAGTCGGATGAAGTTAGATTCGACGTTATCTCGGAAGAAGAACTCATCGATTGATTGCCAAACTCGACAAGTTGAAGCGAGTAGAGGATTAGAAAAGGTGTTAGGGATTCGGCGAGTTGGCGGCCCAAATCGGCGAGTCCGGTCAACTGAAAGTTGACTTTGACCAGGGGTAAAATAGTCATTTTACCCAGAGATTAGCTATCAGTATTTGATTTTAGTGTTTATGGGATTTGTAGCTGGGGAGTTTCGGAGTAGCAGCCACACAGTTTCAGATTTAGCATCTCAGTAGCCAGCACTACGAGGTGAGTTTCCTCTAGTAGGAACGGGTCTACGGCCACAATGTCGGCCCGTCTAGTTAGTAGTAGTTCCGGACTGTGGTCCGATGCAATAGTATGTATGCTTGATGTCTTCGTGATTCATGCATATTTTGTTATGTGTAGTATGTCGGGCAAGCTCGATACAATATGCGATTATGCTATATGTTCATGATATGTTATATCCAATTTATTCCGGACTTCAGTCCGATGTCGGGCGGGGCTCGAAGTAGTGGGCGGGGCCCAAGTTGTTCCGGACTTTGGTCTGATGTCGGGCGGGGCCCGATGCAATGGACGGGGCCCAGTATGCGTTATCTGTATTATTGTATGGTATGTGGTAGTTTGGGGGAGCTCACTAAGCTTTGTGCTTATAGTTTCAGTTTTTGGTTTCAGGTACTTCCGCTAGTAAGGGGAAGAGCTCGGGTTGATGGCATGGCACATACCACAGCTTCAGTTTATCTTGGGAGTTTTTCTTTATTTGGACGTTTTGATATGTTTTGACATCAATTGATTTGATACATTCACTTTTACATTTGAAACATGTGATTGTGGTTTTATTATATGATGATTAATTTCATGGTTTTAGTAATGTTTAAAACAAAAAAAATTGGGTTGTATTTTTGGGTCGTTTCAATAGCCATGAAGAGACACTTGAAAATGTTTATTTTACTTTTGATGTCTATTAATTTAAAAATGTTTGGTTTGTAAAAATTCGATACATATTTACAAGAAATAGCAACATACTTTCAATGATATGTTATTTATAAAATTTTACTTTTTTGTTCCTATTATAGCATTACCTATGAAATTTTTATCCAATTAGTGTTATGAAAATTGTATAGCATATTGTCTTTTCTCATAATTCCTTAATTAGTGACCATTTTTTTGTCTCTAGCAATAAATATTAAGTGACCATTTCTTTTGGTCACCACAATTATTAATAGGGTAACAAAAACCAAGGATATTTGTGGTGTTCTTAAACACGTCACTAACTGAATAACATAGTGACGACTTTCATTCCTTAGTGACTGCATTTAATTACAATTATATTTAAGTCACTATTTATTCTTAAAACACAAATCATTCACAACATCAACAAATCTTTTATTAATGAAATAAGATTCAGTTGGTTTACCTCAACTTACAGAACAAACCTCACTATAATCTCACTCGCACTCAAGCTTAAACAAGAACAGAAAACTAAAGATTACACATATAGAACAGAAAGAAAACCCCAACTCGATCTAGCCAGCACATAAAATGAACACAAGCAGAACTACACCCGCTCTGATACATCTTAAAAACACAAATCATTCACAACATCAACGTATTTTTTATTAATGAATAAGATCAAATTGGTTTACCTAGACATACAAAACAAACTTCAATACAATCACACTCATACTCAAGCTTAAACAAGAACACAAAACTAAAGATTACACAGACAAAACAGAAAGAATACACAACCGAACTAGCTTACAAGTGAGAGGAAAGGAGAGCAATCTACACTAATTATAAATAGCAAATGAGAGTTTAATCAACATTAAATACAATGGGTACACTTCGTAGGTCAAACACGGGAAATACCCCTATCAAACCCAAAAACGAACCCACACTAGGATCTGTGTGTTTAGGGATTGCAAAAAAAACTCATACCTAACGCGGAACCCGAAACCCGCATCCGTTTTGACCGGAGATGGGGACGGGGATGGAGAGTCCCCAAATAAAAATGTAGGAATGGAGATGGGGATGGGGATACCTCTAATCCCCAACCCTGGACTCGCTCCCGATATATATTAAACATATATTTATATTACAATTTACAATACATCAAATTTGATCCAAGTAACCTAACTCATCAATAATTACTTGGTTAAAATTATATTGTTTTTCTTTTATTTAATTTAAACTCATTTATATTTTTTATATTTTAATTCAAATATCACTTTGATAATTTTTTTCTACTTGATTTTTCATATATGTATTTAAATTTGGTAGAAAAATTGTTTATATATTTGAAGTAATCTATGGATATTTTTATATTTTGTAAAATTTTTAAACTTATAATGATAAAATTGAAATTTAAAGTTTTTCTTTACGTAAAAGTTTTCATATTAAAAGAGAAAAAAAATATATCTGATTCCCCGTTGGGATCCTCAATCCCCGTTGGAGGTGGGGGTGAGGGTTTATTTATATTCCCCAATGGGGATGAGGATGAGAATGGGGACAGGGATTGGAATTAAGATTCGGGGATGGGGATGGGGATTAGGATCCCTTGTAATACCTGCCCTTGTTGCCATCTCTATGCGTGTTTAACAAGAATCACTTATATGAGCGGCAACCCCTAAACAATCAACTTACCCAAATCCAGTCCTCCTACAAATAATAAATAAACACAAACTACACAAATCAATATAATTTTATTATTAAAGCTTTTATGATAATCTTGGACCAACTTTGCAACACTTTCAACATTTAGTGACCATTTATATTTTTGGGTCTCTAATACGACCAACGTTTAAGTCACTAAATCATTTGCTCATTTTATTGTTAGTGATCACTTTGTTTTCGTCACTAATTAGCATTGTTTTTGTCACTAATTAGCAGTTTTTAAGTGCTTTTGAAAGCTGAAGATGAAAGTTCCCTTAAGGCATGTGACATCACTAATCCGTCTTCTTTTAGAATTAGCCTCTAATTTATGTGTATGATGCTCGGTTCTCTTATAGTTTTATAAGACATAAGAAACTACAATTCCAATCACGTTTATTTGTGAGATGAAAACACCTTGTCGATGTGTGTAAAATGCTAATCACGTTTTAAAACTCTCATTTATCCTTTTTGGGCCTCCATTTAGTATATAAATAAGGAAAGTGTCGGTTTACATAAAGGAGAGGCATATACTTTGGAAAACGGATTATTATAAAGTTAAAAAAATTGTAGAAAATATAGTACCAACTACAAACCCTGTAAATTTAATAATTAGCAATCGCAAGATTTTTTCACCAAATAATCTTATGTTTATTTTCTCTTTTTTTGGTAAGGAACTACAATTCATGTTATTACAACAAAATATATATGTATGTTTCTGACACTATTTCATTTATCAAAAAAAAAAAAAAAAAACATAGTGATTGGTTTTCAGTAGGACCAAAGTTGAACAATATATTTTCCGTCAATTTGTGGTAAAATAAACGTTTCTCTTGTTAACCAACTTTTAGCTTTTCTATTAAAAGTAAACTATTTGAAGCTTTATTCCTCTTTTATATTGGTGTGGGAATATATAACATTATCAACACACACAATTAATAAAAATTTTGAGCTCTGAAAATTGTTTTTTGTTAACATTTTTTTTCATAGAAACCACAATGAAACAAGAGTCACATTCTCCTCGTCAAACTTGTAACGTCTTTAACAAGTTCACAAGTCTAGTATTGCTAGCTGTGTTTCTTCTGTTAGTTGTGGTATTGCTTGGTGTATTTCTTCTGGTAGTTTCTTCTACAAAGGTTGTTCCCTCAGAGGAAACGGAATCCGGGTTCATGGTTAAAACATTACCCGGTTTTCTTGGTGATCTTCCTATCACTCTCGAAACTGGGTAAGGCTATGCATTAGTTTAATTTCATTATATATATATATATATATATATATATATATATATATATATATATATATATATATATATATATAGATATATATAAACTAACTCTTAAAACAACATGAATGTTCTTCTAGTTACATTGGGGTAGGAGAATCTGAAGATGTGCAATTATTTTACTATTTCATTGAGTCCGAAGGAGACCCAGAAAAGGACCCTCTCATGCTTATGTTGTCAGGAGGGCCTGGTTGTTCGGGTCTTGCTAAGGTTTTAGCTGAAACGGGTATGTCTAAGATGTGCAAACTTTTGTTTCTTTTTCTTTCAAGTGGGTTAACAAAATTGGATCGATTCATCTTGGGTCATGTGTACCTTTTATATACACTTCTACAAGCTCAACATGATTGATGACGAAGTTTTAGTAGTAAAATTTTGTCTATACCTCACTTTATTATCCACTTCTTACCTTAGAAAATTAATAGACCTTTACTGTTAAAAGCAACTCTTAAGTCACCAATTAAATAGTAACAAAAGAGCACACACAATAATTAAAAGAGCTTTGAGACCTTGAATACATGAAGGGGATAAGGACTTTTTGATTAAGTAATGTTATCGTTTGGAAAGTATTTGGGTTTGGATTGATGAGTTGCTATCAAAACTTTGTTAGTACCGTTTATAACTTCTTAATTTTACATTAACAATGTGTACTATACCATATGTTCTTTTATTTAACACGTTCATGGTTGTGTCTATAGGACCATTCACTTTCAACTATGCAGAATCCTCTTCGGAGAAGCCAATCCTGGAGATAAATCCTTACAGTTGGACAAAGGTGTCTAACTATAATTGTGCTTTTACTTCCTTTGCATACAATCCTTAGTTTAAACTATACCAGCACTTGACTACAAACGAAAAGTTTTTATTCCTAAAAATACGTTTTTAAGGACATAAAGATTATATGAACTTTGATGATTATTTTCCAGAATACTAATAGAATTTGAACTCAAAGATATATGAATTAGATATGGCTTCTATTTTGAATGGGTTTTGAATGTGGTATGTAGTGTTCTTTATAAATGGATAAGGATTATACTTGTATTTTATGTTTTCCAGTCTACTTGATGTTAGAAGTTCAATGAGTACAAGTTCTTGACTTAATAAAATTATTGTTACAATTTAGGTTGGAAGCATAATATCTCTTGATCAACCTGCGGGTACTGGATTCTCCTATGCAGAAACTGCCAATGCTTACACAACAAACGACACATTATCAGCAATTCAGGTTTACCAGTTTTTGAGGAAGGTAAGATTACAAAGTCATTGGTTACGAATTTTAGAACTTATCTTGTGAATATATGATGCAAATGACACATTTAATGTCATCCAAGCATCGATTACGAGTATATTGTACTTTCTCTATTACAAATTCAAGGGAAAATGATGAAAATGCCCTACGAACTTTTTAGGATTGGTTCATTTAGTCTTTAAACTGTTTCCGTGGCTTATGAGGAAACGAAGTCATTATTGTTGGGCAGATTACGTACTTTTGGCCAAAGTGAATGGGTCACCCGGTTACCCCTTTGCTACATTGATATTCGTTGACCAATTTTCTTGCAATGACTTTGAATTTTTCCAAATTTGACTATTTACATTGATGAATAATATGGATCAGATGAATTATGATTTATGAATAGCAAAATCCATCAGATTGTGATAGTATGTAGATCTAGATTAGCTCATATTCAAGTTTATAAGAAATTGTGCATCCAAAATCAGAATTCAAATACCTACAAGGCAGATTTATGGAAACCACAAAATCGATTTAAGCATAAAAGCCAGAAGAGACGTCCAATTCGATAAATTAAATCTCTAGACCAGCTTAATCAAGCGAAAAATCATATGAATCATCAGTCATTGATGGTTCAATCAGTTAAACCACTTATAAAAAATGAGTATGTCTAGACAAAAACAGAGTAAATATCAACAAACTTCGATTTTCTGTTTTGATGTCACGAATGAAATAGAGAGAAATAAAGGTTAATCAAACAAACCTTTGGCGAAACCAGGCACTATAATCAGGAGGAAAATGATGAAAACAATAGTTATGCAACTCTTCAGATCCATCGTGATCCGCAAATGTTAGATAAAGAGAGATCTATATATATATATATATATATATATATATATATATATATATATATATATATATAGAGAGAGAGAGAGGGAGAGAGAGAGAGTGGTGGTGATAAATGCAAGAGGATTTTAATGATGGAGAAGTGTGGGGTTTAATGAACAACAAGAATTGAAGTAAAGAATTAGAATAATAAATTGAGAAGAGACACTGGGATAGTTCATATACATGATCTTTCCTTCAAATGTGGTTCTATCTAGGGTATTAAGAGCATCATTGGTCGATTCCTCTAAATCAAATTGAACAAAACCGAAACCCTTAATGTTGCTTTTATCGTCCTTGGCGATCTTATTAGAATGAATCCTCCCAAAATTTCCAAAATCTTCTCCAATTTAGCATCTATGACAAACCGATCAAGATTCTTCATGAAAAAATTTGCTACTCCAGTTTTTCTCATAAGTGGTTCTCATTGACACCACATTAGCCTTATGGATTTTCCTCTAATCAAATAAAGAATTCCACAAACGAAAATAATTATAAACCAACAAATAAAGAAATAAGAGATTCAGTTGCTTACATTGTGCTTGGGTTTTGGAGTTAACACAGAGGAAGATGATGATCATTAGATAGGCTCAAGTTTTGTCTATGTGTCAATAAAACCGGGGAGAACTGGTGAATAGGACTAAAAAGACAGATTCCCCACTATTTCGTTCCCTCGTAAAGACACCAAATAAGTTTAAGGACTCAAAGGTTCAACCCTAGAAAGGTCGTCGGGCATTTGTGTCATTTTCCCTAAATACAAACTAATATCAGTGTTTGCTTGTTGTGTCTATTTCAATAGTGGCTTGTGGATCATCCAAATTTTATTAAGAACCCATTATATGTTTGTGGTGATTCTTATGCTGGCTTAGTGGTTCCGATGATTGTTCAAGAAATATATAATGGTATTCTTTAATACATGAAGTTCTTTCTATAGAAATAGCTTTGGGAAATAGAATTATGTTTCAATGGTGTTGTTTTTGGAAGTTTCAAAATATACAATGGCCCAATAATCTTCTTCTGAATAATTAAATTAACTCTATCTTAGATCAGTTGTCTCTTGTTGTCTTAAGATGCCATATTTTCAACTTTTTGTTTCCTACTTTTATAGGTAATGAAGTTGGAGAAGGGCCGCATATGAACATCAATGTAAACGTAGATTAATCATTTGGATAAGTCAAATTTCATATTTATCATACATTTTGTAGCATGAGATTGATTGTCCTCGGTTTGATCACCAAAGTGATTGAAAATGTTTACATATTTTTCATGACTGAATTTGATATCTTTTTCTAACTTAGGGATATGTAATTGGTAATGCTGTAACAGACACAAATGATGAATACAATTCGCGAATTCCATTTGCTCATCGCTTAGCACTCT